GATCACAAGTCCGCATCTTGTACAGCAATTAACCACTAAGAAGAATATATGCAGTGTATTATTTGTTGAAACTGTACTTCTGATTTGATTTGAAACTGTCTCATTGCTATCTGTTTATCAATAAATCTGTAGAAAAAAAATAAAAAATAAAATCCCTGTTAGAAAATTTTCAATTATTTAAATTTGCTTATAACCCAACAAGAAATATTTATTAGCATATTCTTTAGTAAGAAGTAGTACTACGAGTTCTGGGCTCTGGAGGCCAAATGTCTTCGGATGCACTCAGGTCTCCATACAGCTGTAACTTCAGGCAGGCTAACAGTACTAATCACAAGGGTGGGGACCACCCACTGGTTCTCAAACTGATACCAGGCCCCAAGTGTATGGCAACTGTATCACTTCAAACACAGCTCTACTCTAGGCCAACTCTACTCTAGATCTACTCTACTCTAAACCTACTCTAACTGAAGTTTAGTGATACTGTTTTTATTAAGAGTTTTTATTAAGAGTTTTATTAAGAGTTTTTGGCTGGCCCAATAGCTCCGCGATTAAAGCACCTGCTCAGGCAAACACAGGGGTCTGAGGTTCGATACCCAGCATGCCGTACATGCCCCGCCCCCAGGAAACACTGAGATGGCAATTGAGACAGCATGGTGGCACACACCTGTAATCCCAGTTCTTTGGGAGGCTGAACACAGGAGGATCACTACAAAGTCCAATCTGTGTAGTGAGACCCTATAAACCCCTTATTAAAGTACAAAAAGAAAAAGTTTTTGAAGAAGGAAGTAGTGGATTAACCTACATTCCAGCTCACATTAAATAGTACTCACCTTTCTGTAGGTAACTAACTTTTCTGTGCTTTTCACTCAACCACAAAAAAAAGACCATTGTGAGCATTAGTAAATACATTTCCAGTACTCTGCACAATGTCTGACGCAAAGTAAGCATTTGTAATTAGGTAGCACAGGGACCAACGAGACTCTTAATCTGAAATGTATAACTAAATGAGGGAACAGGTCTGTACCAAAGTCAGAGTCTGACAAGCCCCATTCATAACTGGCTGTCAATGTTACAGCCCCTAAATGAGGAAGTCTTGATGGGGCCTGCACGGTGGTAAAGGTTTCCACAAACATAGACCCAATGTATTATAAACGTAAGAAATGCCTTAAGCAAAAGCACAGAAACAGAAAACCCTAGGGTGTATGTAAAATGTGAGCAGTCCCACATAGGCCACCTGCAGAAATAAACTGAAAGAGTGGAGCAGGGTGAGAGCACAAAGTGCAGAAGCCAGGAGTAGGGACGAGTTTCTTGGCTTTGGTAGACAAGTGAAGCTATGACCTATTTTTGAGCAAAAATGCCACAAGCAGAGCTAAGGATGTAGCTCACTGGCAGAGCACATGCTTAGCAAGCACAGGGCCAGGCTCGACCCCAGCACCCGTCCTCCAGATGAAGGTGAGGCTGTACTGTACATAAGGAGAACATCCTGAAAGCAGCACACAGAAAAGCAAGAGAAAAGATCTGCAGCAGAGACTAACACAAGGGAGGCAACGGGTGCGAGCTCTCTTAGAATTGACAAATAAATGTGTGTGAGGATTCAGGCTAGAAAGGCAGGTCAAAGACTGCTCTCAAGAATCAAATGAAATACACATAAGCTAACCTATATTCAGCTTTACTACTGGACTTTGCAGCACACAGTCATTCTCAAGGAGCACATCCAAGTAAATGAAACTGTTACAGCACATCATGGCACTTGTCCAGGGTCAAGATGGAGCCAGCAGCTTCCTGTTTTACGTTCTCTAATACTTCCTTATCAATTCCTTAGTTTTTTTTTAAAAAAAAAAAACTTTAAAAGACTAATAAATGTTTAAAATTAGAATCTCAAAAATTTCTCACCCTGATTGTTTGGTCATCAGAAGATGTCAAGAACGATGATCCATCAGGAGAAAACATCACACCGTGAACCCAACTGAAATGTCCCCTGCAGTCAGCCACCTTTACACACGAGTCTGTGTTCCACAACTACAGGATACAGGAAACCATAGTCAGAAGCATTCTAAATTCACCAAGAATCATGAAAATAGCAAAAGTGACCATTTCTATTAATGTAGCCCAAAAATACACTTTCAAAAATACAAAATGCTGGGCCAGGAAGATAGCTCAGCAGACTAAAGTGTCTGCTTAGGCAAGCTTAGGCAAAGTTCAGGAACTGCAGTTTGATCCCCAGCACCACATGCTGCACCAGCCCCACCCGCATGGCAGGCTAAGCCATACACCGATCAGGCATAGTGAGTCAGCCATGAGTCAGAGCTGCGTAGTGAGACTGTAAAAACCAAATGCATGTAAAAAGTTTTTTTTTTAATATAAGCTTATTGATGCAAGTTAGACCCATATAATGACCATGTTCATTATAGGGTATCTGTACATGCACAGGATATTTCTTGATTCCTCTTTTTTTCCCATTCCCATCCCCTTGCAAATCCCCTTCCCCTTCCTATATACAAGGCTTGGTTTGGTTTTCATTTTATTCTTTTCTCATTCTTTTCTTTCTCTTCCTTTCTCCCTCCCCCTCCCTAGTTTCCTTTTCCTTCTGAACAGTTTCTTCCTATTTCACAGTATTTATTGTACATTTCAAAAATACAAAATATTTTATACCGATTCTTTATACAATTATTTTTTAATAACAACTAGAAACCACCAATGACCATGACTAAACTACATCAGTCACATAATAGAATACCATGCAAAACAGAATACGGGAAAAAGCTCTGGTAATGACTAATTTCTAGGATATAGTAACAGGAAAGAAAGTAAAACACAGAACAGTATATATAGTATATTCTGTATGAGCTGGAGATAGAGATGCATGCACATATAGATGGACATAAGTCTGAATACTAATACATGTAAGTACGTGGAGACACACATATAATCTACTTATTAAAAAACACTGTTACCTAGGGGGTAGCAAAAGAAGAGTAGACAGGAAGGGATAAGGATGATTGTGAGACTTCTCTGAACATAACTTTTTATAAAGCTTTGATTTTGGAAATATGTTTTATTTATTTTTAAAAATAATTTTAAAAACAACAGGGTGAACATTGTCAGCTTTTATTCAGTTTTCCACTAATACTGTCTATAATCTAACCTTTATTTTGACTGATTGTGATACCCCGACAAATGGATGCACTAATTGTACCATGTACAGATTTCCCTTGTTATTCATGCTTTTTACAAACTGTCAGTGTCTACCACCAGCCTCGTTATGTTCTGTCCTGGGTTCTGATGTAAATTACTCAAATATATCCCAGTCTAATGAAATACCATATGTGCCTGAGTTCCTCTCATTACACTCTGAATTACAGACCTACTTTATGATTTTGGAACTAGCATGGACAAAATAAGTGTTTCATTACATGGCCAGTGCTTTGCATTCGTTGAGTTCTATGCTTACAAATAAATTATACAAAATCTCCTCTGCCTTATCTCTAGAGTTCAACCTGGGATGTACACAGCTAATGACCAGAAATGAAAACAACTCCACAAGTGAAAACCTCCCTGGAAAAGCCTTCTCTCTCTGCCTCCTTTTCTTCTATCTCACCCTCATCATTTGTGAAGGCACCAGTGCCACATCCCTACCTTTCAAAAATGAAGACACTGTCCTGGAGAGTTTTCTAGGGATTCAGAGCGAAGGCAAGGATCTTAGGAATTAAAAGAAAGGCTGAGCAAGGGTTTGCTGCTCTGGTCCTTCTAAAAATCTTAACTAAATCCAAAGAGGGAAAATGCTAGCCAAACAATTTGAGGTCTATAGGCAAGGTCCCAGGTCTCTGAGCAGCTGTGAATATACCAATTCAGTCCAAGGGAACACTGCCCATGGCTCCTCATTTCTTCCTACTGTACCCCATACAGAACTAGAGGTCTGTAGCTCACTGTCACTTCTTGCAGTGGGAGGATCTTAGTCAAGGAGTTCTTCAGCATTATGTAACTACTGTACTTAAGAATCAGGAGGTGCTTACAGAGCTCACCCCGTTCTCTTTTCATCTGTTACCTCCAGGCTGAAGGGTTACAGCTACTACCTCTCCTCTAATGTCTCAACAGGAAGGAGAAAGACTGGCCAATCACTAAAAACTGCTGAAAGAAGCACAGGAGACTACAAAGTACTTCCAGTAATCAATGTGCCCTTCCACAGCAGCCTGCAAACCAGGTGCACTGCCCTACTTTGCAGCAAAGACCCACACCTTTTTTTTTTTTTTTTTTCCATTTTGTGTATTTGGTACAGGGTCTCACCATATAGCCTGGACTTGTAGTGATTCTCCTGTTTTCAGCCTCCCTAGTGCTGGGATTAGTCCTGTGCCACCACACATAGACTCTGTCCCTGGCTCAGTGTGCCCTGAGGGCAGGGCTGGTGCAGCCTAGGTGTAGTGGTTGATACATTGTATCAACTCCGCTGGATTTGGATGAATCCAGGGCCTCACTTCCAGCTGGTGGGGGTCCTGCCCTGGGGCACAACTGGTTCTGCCCCCCCAGAGTGACTCAGCACAAAGAGACCATATAAAGGGGCTGAGGAAGTAGTCCATCTTCTACTTCGTCAGAGGAACTTCAGTCTTCACATTCATTGCCTGGCTCACAGCACAGACTCTTCCACCTCTGGCTTGGATCCTTCACCTTCCATTGCAGACTCTTCCCCATCCATTGCAGACCCTTCAGTCTTCCCTCCCAGACCCATCAGCTGACGAATAGAGACTTGCATGGAGCACAGCAGTGAGCTTCAGACCTTGGGACTGAACTCCTCAGTCTGCGGTGTGCAGACACTCCCCCATCTGACTCTGCAGTTGACTGTCGTAAGCCAATCTTGTAATTCCTTAGACACTGTATATCTTATGTTAATATCTGTTCCTTATATTATATCTGTTCCTCTAAGTAAAACCCTGACCAGTGCAGTAGGAGACCAGGGATCAAACCCTAGTCCCTGCCTTTGCCAAATCAGGCACTTAGTCTACTGAGCTATCTTGCTGGCCTTCATGCCCTTCTTTTTAGCACTGAGATCTCAAGGGGTTTCAACCTGAAATCTTGGAAAATGATTCCTTCTTTGAAAGAAAAATACAAGGCCAGTGAGACAGCTCAGTGGACTAAGCACCTGCTCAAGCAAGTGCAGGGCCCGGGGTTTGATCCCTGGTATCACATGTCACACTGGCCCTGCCCCCGGGGGCGCTGAGCTGGTGACTTAGTCCAAGCATAGTGGCGCAAGCTGCATAGTGAGACCCAGTACCAAATACATAATAAATAAGTAAAACAACTCACTGAATATTAAATAAATTAATATAGCAACTCACTGGGCAGAATTCTTCTCAGTAAAGATTCTGAACATAAAATTCATAAATATAAACAAGTAATTCACAAGAATCATTTTACTCATTAAGGCTCAGCAATGATGATCTTTTTTTTTTTTTTTTTTTTTTTTGCATTTTAGGGAAGGGTCTACGGGGTGTTCAGCGTCTTACTACTAGATCAGATTCATAGTGATCCCTGGCTCTCAAGAAACCCAGCCCTCCCTGGATAAGCTCAACCACTTACCTCCACACAGAACTGGGACAAGGCCACCACCGCCAAGTGGTTATGGGGGGAGAAATCACAATGCTGGATGGTACTATGGTGGCTGGTGTGAATTTCTGCAACTAGGCCACTGGTGTGAATGTCAAAAAGCTGTCAACATAAATAATGACATAACATAAAGGTAAACTATTAAGAAGATAAACAAGACCAAAACTGACTCTAAATTAACTAATTTATTTATTTTTTTTTTTTTTTGGCAGAACCAGAGGTTGAACTCAGACCTTGTGCTTATTCTACTGAGCCATCTCCCCGGCCCCCTCTAAATTTATTTTTTTATATCTCCTCCTGTTTTGAATATAAAATGTAAGTCCTGAAAAATAATTACTAGTAACTGGCATAATTATTGACAGTCATAAATAAGATATAGATCAATATACATATACTTCTAAAATATTTAACTATATTTTTTGAAAAGGAAAATTCATCACAGATGGTTTCTCAAGCTGGCCCAAAGAAATAAAATCTTTGTGCATAAATGAATGGACCAGGCAAATTAACATACAGAGTATTCTCCCTAATGCTTGTTTATTCAAATGAGAAAATACACACTCATACATGAAGATGATCAAACTAATACAGAGCAGAGGCTGCTAAAATGAAATTAGCTCAATCATTTCTATTTCTCTCCAGAGCTAACAAATTATTCCATTATGATTAGTCATTTTCCCATTTTTGAACCAAAAAAGCTACTTTTGACTAATTCAACTTTTTCACTTTAATTTTGAAACATTTTCAAATGCTGACTATATTTTCCCAAGTTTTTCCAAATGATAAAGTGGCTTCTACTTAATACATACACTCAGATTGCTGATGGAGTTAGTAACTTAAGGTGAAGGCATAGTCCTCAGGAAAAAAACAAAAGCTCCCTCCCACCCAAGGGGTCCCCCAAGGAGGTTCAGTGAACACACAGAATATGCAGCCCTGGGAGCAAGCACAGGGGGACCCAGCACAGCAGTGGAGGACAGAAGTGCAAAGGGCAGAAAATCATCTTTAATGCTTCTTGGGCAAATCCTTCTTCAACATGAGTGACTGAGAGTGACAGAAGAAACTTGGTAAACGTGGACTAGAAAAATGTCACAATGGGGCCAAGGAAACAGCTCAGCAGCATAACACCTGCCTAGCAAGCACGAGGTGGTGCGTTCAATTCTCAGTATTCTCCCCCCTAAAAAAAGAAAGAAAAAAGGAAAATGTCACCATCCTAGACAGCAAGAAAGAAAAGGCCTTCCAATAATAGTGGACTGACATTACAAGATTGAGAAATGGGCAAGTTCTTGGAGGAGAGAGACCCCGAGGAAATGCAGTGGTTAGGTGATTTTAGGTTAGTTCGGTTTTAGCAAAGTGAACAGAAAGCTTCATCTACAGGTTTTTAAAACAAGGCCACATTTCATGCAATCTAAAATATTTTCCACTGTCACTAGGAAGGATCTTTTAAACTCTTTTCAAAGCATGAACTTTTGCTCAACATCACTGCTTATTAGGAGAATGTAATCACACCACAAAGATGCCATTTCACACCTACTAGGACGGCTATAATTTTAAAATGGAAATAAAAAACGTTACCATGGATATAGGGAAGATGGAACCCTTCCCCCTCTGTTGCCAGTGGGAATGGAAATTCAAAATCAGTTAAAAAAAAAAAAAGAGTGCTATGGAAAGTATTTCATATCTTAATAAGTGGGAGGAACACTGGACTCAGCATCATAAACTATTCCTGTAATGTAGTGCTGTCCAAGGCCTCACACATGCAGCTCACACTGTGAGGCTCTCACAGGGGAAAACTGGGGAGGCGGCCAGAGCCGGGAGACCTTTTCTCCCAAGGCCACCAGAACCCTACTGCATGGCTCCAAATGCAATGAGCAGCAAGAAAGACTGCCCCACACCTTACAGCTTATCAAAAGGGAAACTGAGATGGCAAATTCACAGAAGCTTTAATTTTCTTTAAATCAGACTGAATTCAATTTTTAAGATATTTGTACTTACAAAGATTTTATTCCTTGCTGCTGCCATTACTTGGGCACCATCAGCAGACCAGGAGCAGCATGTCACTAGCACCTCCACTTCCTCCTGGGGGTCCTCTGCATTTGGGAAGAGCTGCTTCACGAGAATGCTTTTCCTCTCATTTGCTGATCTCACATCCCAGAGCTTCAAATGCAAAAAAATAAAAATAAACAAATTTGTTTTACTCAACTCACACCTCTACAATCGCACGTGAATTAAATGTCATATAAGCTTATTCGCTTTACCTAATTTTTACTGTGGATAACTTCCTATAAAGTTTTTAAACTATGTATTGCAGTTTTCATTCATCACCTTCCTAAAAGAATGAGAAATACATCCCCAAGTGAAGATCAGAAAACTAACACAAATCGGCGCAGGCCTCGCGTGGTATGGAGGAGGCGGCGACTAGGTGCCCTCAGCAAGCGAGAGCATGGGCGCGGGGCAGGCGGCACACAGCTGCCACTGCTGCCCTCTGCTGCCAGGCAGGAAGTGCTGCGCATAGCCGGAAGCATGGAGAGAGGGAAGCCCCTGAAATACGCACAGAGATGAGTGCAAAGGAAACCAGATGCCTTGTGTGAACGAAGGGGCCAGGAAGAGGGGCCTGAAGCTCACGGGCTCCCGGTTCCGCGGACCCTAAACCTCATTATAGACAGTAACCTGAACAGTACAAAACTCAAAAGCTTCCAAAGATCCATCTTCAAGAGAGCCTGCATCAAAAAAGACACACAGGGCTGGCGAGATGGCTCAGTGATCTAAAGCACCTACTTAGAACAAACTAAGCCAAGCAAAGCACAAGGACCGCGGTTCAATCCCCCAGCACCACATGCCAGCCAGCCCCGCCCCCTGGTGGGCTGAGCTGGCCACACACAGACTAAATAAATAATAAAACTTGATTGTTCTGGGGCTGGGGAAATAGCTTAGTAGAATAAGTGCTTGCCTGGTAAGTGCAAGGGCCTGAGTTCCGCAAAAAAAAAAAAATAATAATAAAATAAAAATAAAAATAAAAATACCCCTTTGGGGGCCGGGGAGATGGCTCAGTGGAATAAGCCCTTCCTTGGCAAGGGCAAGGGCCTGAGTTCAATCCCCGGTTCCACCAAAAAAATAAAACACCTGATTTTTCTAACTAGACATATCTTTAGCTATTTCTTGAGTTCAGAGAAACATTACATCTACTAAGAAATATGACCATAACCAAAACTTTCCCCTTTGTGAAACTGTGGGTAAACTGAATAAAGCAAAAGAGACAGCAGGGACCAAAACAGTCTTTCCTAACACTAAAGAGAACATCACATAAATGCCAGAAGCTTCAGTCCTATTAGCCAGGATACATGAGAAGTCACACTGTTTCCCAATTAATAGGAAAAACAAAGCAACGGCCTGAATATATGAAAGAAAGAGGGAAACAACATGCTCTGATTTCATTATAACTGCCTGAAGCACATCTGCTCATGAGCACGGCTTTGGCTCCTGCCCATGCAGAGATGAAGTCCCACACAGCCAGGGACCAGGTAAATTCAGGCCAGCATTTCATCTTGAGTGCTCTGTGTCCAGGGTCCTGGTGCAGCCTGAGCACTTATGTGCATTAAATGAACATTTTAAAAGAAAATTCACATTTTGAAACAATTTATCACCAAAGCTCATCCTTAATCGTGTTCCTCTATGAAGAACACACCAGAAATTTGTCACTGCCCCCCTCTACAAAAACTGACATCGGCAAAGTGAAAATCCCCAAACACCTCACTGATGCTTACTTCAAGAAGCAGCTACGGAAACCCAGACACCAGGAGGGCAAGATCTTCGACACCGAGAAAGAGAGATACCACATTTCAGAACAGGTCAAGGTGGATCAAAAAGCAGTGGACTCACAGATTTTAGCAAAAATCAAAGCTGTCCCTCAGCTCTGGGGCTACCTGCGATCTGTTTTGCTCTGACAAATGGAATTTATCCTCAAATATTAGTGTTCTAAATTTCTTACTAAGAGCCTAATTAAATAACTGATACATTCAAATAAATAAATAAATAAATAAAACTTATATGCCTAGTACAGCACCTGGCACATAGTAAATAATAAATGATCAGCAAATACATTTTCAATAAAAACAACATATTTCATTCAAGTTTCAAGCACAAGCGAATAAACAGTAACAGTACTGAGAGAAATAAGCTTCAGGTTAAAGGTGAAGAAAGAACAAATATATCCAACCCCTTTGTCCTCCTAAAACTCAGGTAAAACGACTACAAGCAAATTTTTCTCCCTAGGCCTTACCCACAAGGTGATGGCGAATGGTAGAAGACAGTACAGCACCAAAACTGTAAAGGCTACAAAGCAAAGAGAGAAGTGATAAGGAGATTTCTAAAGCTGAATCTTGTGCCTGTAGTAGGAAAAGCCAAGCAGCGCAGCCCATAGGACAAATCTAAAAGGTTTAGCCGGTGCTCCCGTGGTACCTCCTGGGAGAGAAGAGCTAAATCGAGAAGACACGAAGGGTCCACAAGTTCCCTCCTGACTCTGTCCTAAGGATACAAGGCTATTCCACATTCAACACAGCTGGAAGCAGAGTCAGAATACTGAGGACAGGAAAATAAGACACGCCTGGTTTTTGTGTTTTTTTGTTTGCTTTTCTGTTTTTTAAGAGCAGAATATATTTATTGGGGGAAAGAAAGCTCCTGTCCACAAGAGGGACAAAAGGGGGGCCTTGAACGGGTGGTCCCCCAAGAGATGCTTGTATTTCAAATATTGAAGTCTCTAGATACCTTCTCAGAACTTGCTAGTGAAATGTATCCCTACAAGTAGAAGCAGATTGAAAAATTTTCTCAGAACACTTAACTACATTAATATAAGACATAAAGGGCCGGCCAAACAGGGGGTTCGATCCCTAGGCCTCCGTGCCCACCCTGCCCTGGGGGCATGCTGAGACAACAATTGAGATTGGGCATGGTGGCGTGTGCCTATACTCCCAGCTCTTGGGAAGCTGTAAACAGGCAGATCACTATGAATCTGATCTAGTAGTGAGACCCTG